CAGCACACACTCTTCAGGAACCTGCAGAACAACACACTCATCTGGCCACTGTGTGTGTGTGTGTGTGTGTGTCACCTTCATGTTGTTGAAGGTCAGGGATAGGTGTAGGTGTGTGTGTGTGTGTGTGCATCACCTTCATGTTGTCGAAGGTCAGAGGGCAGGTGGACGAGGCTCTGAGCCCCAGTTTGTTCTCCTTGCGGCCGATATGGAGACCCTCAGTGTCCCGGTCCACAATGAAGCAGGTGATGCCCCTGTAGCCCTACACACACACACACACACACACACACACATGCATAAAACAAACATACACACATATATACAAACACACACACACACACACACACACACATTAATAACACAGTGATGTAGAGTGTGTATATCACAGTCCAGCTGTGTGTGTCTGTTTATGTATGAGAGTGTGTGTGTGTGTGTGTGTGCGCTCACCGCCGCCGGCTCCGCGTTGGCCATCACCAGGAACACTCCTGCATGCTCTGCGTTGCTGATCCACATCTTGGAGCCGTTGATGATGAAGTAGTCCTTGTGTTTCTGCGCTTGAGTCCTGAGAGAGAACGCATCGCTGCCCGCCTCGGCCTCCGACAGGCAGAAACTGCCCACCTGCACACACACACAGAGAGAGAGAGAGAGAGTGTGTGTGTTCTCACTATGTCACTGGCCAGTCGGGGCAGGTATTTCTCCTGTGTGTGTGTGTGTGTGTGTGTGTGTGTTCTCACCATGTCGCTGGCCAGTCGGGGCAGGTATTTCTCCTCTGTGTGTGTGTGTGTGTGTGTGTGTGTGTGTGTGTGTGTGTGTTCTCACCATGTCGCTGGCCAGTCGGAGCAGGTATTTCTCCTCTGTGTGTGTGTGTGTGTGTGTGTGTGTGTTCACACCATGTCGCTGGCCAGTCGAGGCAGGAATTTCTCCTCTGTGTGTGTGTGTGTGTGTGTGTGTGTGTGTGTGTTCTCACCATGTCGCTGGCCAGTCGGGGCAGGTATTTCTCCTTCTGTGTGTGTGTGCCCAGCTGCATCATTAGCGTGTTGATTAGCGTGTTCTGGATGTCGCACAGCACCGCCACCGACGCGTCCACCTTCGCCAGCTCCTCGATCACCAGCACTGAGGAGAAGAAGCTGCAGCCTGATCCACCGTACTCACTGCCGATCTCCATACCCATCAGCTGCACACACACACACACATATGCATAAAACAAACATACACACATATATACAAACACACACGCTCACAAACAGGGCTCGGACCCTGGAACTAAAGGTTGAACCCCAAAGTGCTCAATAATGTTTAGCTCAGGGTACTGTGCAGGCCATGTTCATCTTCACTGTCATGTGCATCAGACCGCTCTGTCTCCAGTCCTGCTGTGTGTGTCGCTGCATCATCATCCTGACACACACCACCGCCTTCAGGACACAGTGACTGACCCACTGGGTCACATGCTCCTCCTCCAGAATGGTTGGGTAGTCCTTGGCAGTGACCCAGCGCCCATCCAGCAGCAGTATTGCCCTCGGGAACACCATGATGTTGAGCCCAGACCCTCCCTGACCCCCCATGCTGGACTCTGGGCATCAGTGGTCTGGGTGGGCCGCTCCTGTGGGGCTTCTCCACACCGTAACTCTCCCGCATGTGGGAAACACAGTGAAGCTGGATCATCAGAGATCAGCACACGCTCCACACCGTCCACAGCTCCAGATCTCCAGCGCTGCTCCACTGAAGCCGGCGTTCGGCGTGGGCAGGAGTGAGCGGAGGTTTGGCTCATGTATACTGACCCGGTGGAGCTCCAGAGCAGCAGTTTGCTGGACACAGGAGAGTGGAGCTGCACGTGTCATTCTGCAGTGAGTCGGGCCGCTGTGCTCTCATGTGTTCTGGCTGAATCAGGGTCAGCAGCTCTTTCAGCTTCCTCCGGCCTCCACAGCTCCTCCTGCTGGATC